CTCTTTTGATTCTCACTTCCTTGCGAATAAGATAACCGGCCTCCCTTTAGCTCAAAAACTCCTCTTTCTTTATCCTATGTCGCGTATTAAACAACCAGCCTAGCCGCCGGCTTAACGGCAAAGAGAAAATCGTTCCCCTTACCTTAGGCACGACTGGCTTCGAAGAAAGCACATTACTGGTACAAGGCAAAGGGCGACCCCTGACCTACAGAAAGCCGGCAACAAGAGTGACTTTTTCACCTGAAAGCAATGGAAGACGCTTATTGAAAAGCAGATTGGAAAGAAAATGAAGCGTTTCAGGATTGATAATGTTTTGAATATTGCTCAGGTGAATTGGATGAGTTCTGCAAGAAGGAAGAGTGAGACACCGCACTGTTAGGAAGACACCAAAACAGAATGGGATTGCAGTTCTCTTCTTGATGATCATCATGAAAGTGAAAGAAATTTTGCTTGGAAACTGAAACTTCTTAATCTGAAAAATCTTCTTATGCCGTTTCATATCCATCCCTTACTTTCCACAGAGTGATTGCTGCGACTTGGCCCTGGTTCTTGCTCTTACTTCTTGAAGAACTCAAACCTCCTTTTATGAATTATAAAAATCTTTGATTTCAATGCTTTTAACCCCCTTCTTCGTTGTAGTAGAATACTTCAACCGACGAGAAGAAAAATGGAGGACTCAAATCGCTGTGCAAACCACCACAGCTGATATGGAATTCGGCCACCACGTCCACCCATTTCCCCGAAAACAACGGTATGAACCCGCCATCTCTCTGACGAGATCAGGTATACCTAGAATCCCGCCGCCAGTGGAAGCAAGCTAGCCCCCTATCGATAATCCGCCTCCTCAGCCAGATGAAGGAGTCGGTGGATTCGCCCAACCAAATCAGCCTGACATAAGGAAAATGCCACATTCTCACTTCTGATATCTTGAATCTTCTGAAGAAAAGATCATTATAGTCAGTCTTAAGTTTTGACCTGTGGTTTTTTTTTAGTAAGATAAAAAAACTGTCGCTAATTGCCCTATAGGTCTTACAGACTGACTCTTCCTAGTGGCGAGGGCCCCTCCTACTCATTGCTAGCGCAAAAAGATAAGATTGACAACTGGGCTAAAAGTTTAAGGAACCATACAGTACACTGGTAGATCGCGAACCACTAGCTTTCCCTCTTTCTAAAAGAACAAAGCTTTTTGATATATTTATTTAACCAGTCCGAAAAACGGAAGTGAAGTTAGCGCTTTCACCTGGTTCTATCAAACTAAACTGGTTCAAGGGCTTAACCTCTCCTTGCTCGCGTAAAGACAAGTATTACGCTCTCTCTTTCTCGCTCCTTTTATGTAGCTCTTACGTGGAAAGTCTTCCACTCGTACCTTTCTAAAGAGCTCAATTCACTACGACCCTATCGTTAGAGCGGGCTTTCAAGAGAGAGATGCACTACTCCATCTGGAAAGGGCTTTCCGCCGGAAGGGAGTCAAAATGCTTTCTTATCTTAGATGGATACGACTGCTTTCCAAGAGCTCTATCCCTCAATCTGCAAATGCCTCTCTTTACGAAGAGTGCTCACATAAGAGAAATTTTACAAGCATAGGATCTTTATCCCAAGCCAATCTCTCACACAATCCTTTCTTCCACTTCAAAAAGAAAGTGTTTTCTCTTAGATCGAGATCCAGTAGTGTTATAGTGTAAGGTGGATTCATTCAAGAGCAAGTGGCAGACGTTCAAGCCAGAGAGGTATTCAGTGTCTCAACTGAGTTGTTGAGGGTAAGCCCCCTTCGTCATCAAAAATGGAATCATTCGATAGGAAACGCTTACCCTTTTTTACGGGTTCATGTTTTTGTTCAGGGTCAATAACTGGAAACTGCTCTTGGCATGCCTACTCGAATGTAGTCTTAGTTTTTCGGAAAGGGAATGAAAAACCTCTACTCTCATTTGAGGATCGATTATCACGGTTCTCAGGTTGTGAAACTTCCTGGCTTTATTGGTAGGGGGGGTGGTCTGCGGATTTGAGTGAGAATGAAATTCTTATTACCTTACCGCGAACACGTTCCCGAAATGGACGGAATTCCGTTACAAGCACCTCCGCTGACTACGGATTCAAGCCATGCGTTACCGGAGCACGAACCTTGCCTCAAACTGAAGAAGGAGAGGTCGAAGTTCAGAAAAATAAGGAAAAGGAGGTTGGGGAATGGAAGCTTTTCTTCCTTTTCCTTCTCTTCTACCCACAAAAGATAAAAAGAGCGAGACGAGGACTGACTAGCCCGGCTCATCCCCCTTCCTTTTCGGAATCCCATCCATTTCTGGTACCAGTTTCCACTCCCGGTTGAGATGCTCTAGCACATATTTTATTCCATCTGGCTTTTCTTGTTAGTTTTATCCTCTCTCTTCCGTCGAGACTGATGGCTATTATTCTTTCTTTCACGGCCCCCCCATCCACCCCATAGACCTCCCATTCCGAAGCATAGTTGATGCAATCGGCGAGATCACTCCTCGATATGTGGAATCATCGTGCGCCATATATACTGAGAAGGAAAGGACTCTGCTAAGTGGTAAAACGACGATGTATAGAGTACCTGCCTTGTAGACGCTACTTAGCCCTCAGGTTGTGCCAGTGATGTGATGACTAAGCTAAGAAAGCAATTAGATCCTTTTCTTTTTATTACATTAAGACATAACCGTGAAGAAAAAGAGACTGAAAGATAGATGAAGGTACCAGAGAGAGAAGATCGGAGTCGTGAACAGGAAAAGCTAAGACCGCTTATGCCGAGAGGAAAGAAGCTTTTGTTGAATCCATTTCAAGTGGGAAGGAAGGTGGTATCGTATTGAATAGAAATGGCAGCTTTTAGGCGTGATCTATCTCTCTGCTTTTCATAGTCAAGATGTGCCCGTGGGATGAGACTTTAGGGAGAGACTCTCTTTCTTTCTCAGATTGAAATGCGGGATCTCCTGTTGATCCGGTAGTGAGGGTCTTTGTTTTTGCTGTTACAGAATCCCGTGCTACGGAATGAATCTAGTCACCATCCGATTTAGGCGTAGGACCCAACTCCGTTCCTTTCACAGGGGACTCCGACTCCTAGAGCTCCCAAGCTATTTATTAAGACTAAACTCCTTAGTCGTTGGCCGCGCACGAGACCACAGAGCAGGCAAAGTACGCATCCACAGGTGAGACGGGGAGTAAGCTGAAACTGCCTCCATTTCACATAAGTACTTCGCGGGGAAACTAGATGAGTAAGACTCTTTCTTTCAACCAATCCCATGAGCGTGTAACCAGGGAGAAGGAAGATGTGGGGGGTACAGTGAGGGTTGGAATTCGCCCGTGGTAGAGCCAGAGAGCTAGTACCAAAAGGTAGGAATGAGACGGCCGGGGGAAGATCTGAGC